CCCGCGATACTGCTACCACGAGAAGTTGATGATTGCTGGAAGTTGCCGTATGTGCTTGGTCGAAGTGGAGCGGGCTCCTAAGCCAGTCGCCTCTTGCGCATGGCCTGTACAGCCCGGCATGGTCGTCAAGACCGACTCGCCTCTCGTCCACAAGGCGCGTGAGGGCATCATGGAGTTCCTGCTCGCCAACCACCCTCTGGACTGCCCCATTTGCGACCAGGGAGGCGAGTGCGATCTCCAGGATCAGTCCATGCGATACGGTGCCGACCGCGGCCGCTTCCACGAGCTCGAAGGAAAGCGTGCGGTGGAGGACAAGAACGTTGGCCCATTGGTCAAGGTAGGATTCCACAGTGTCTGGTTCCAAGAAGATGGCTTACAGATAGCAGACCTCCATGAACAGGTGCATTCACTGCACACGCTGCGTCCGTTTCTCCAACGACATCGCTGGTGCTCCTGAATTTGGTTCTTTCGGCCGTGGCAACGACCTGGAAATCGGCACATACCTCGAGACCGCCCTTGATACCGAACTCTCCGGAAACGTCATCGATCTCTGCCCCGTCGGTGCCCTCACCTCGAAGCCCTACGCGTTCAAGGCCCGCCCATGGGAACTATACAAGACTGAGTCCATCGACGTTCTTGATGGACTTGGCTCAAACATCCGCATCGACGCCCGTGGTATCCAGGTCATGAGGGTCATCCCGCGACTTAACGACGACATCAACGAGGAATGGATCAACGACAAGACCCGCTTCGCCTGCGACGCTCTCAGCACACAGCGCCTTGTCAACCCACTAGTCCGCGTTGACGATCAATTCCAGCCCGCCACCTGGGAGCAGGCGCTGGTCGAGATTGGCAACGCATACAAGAAGATCGCACCCAAGGGCAACGAATTCAAGGTCGTGGCTGGCCACCTCGTCGAGACTGAGGCGCTGGTTGCCATGAAGGATCTTGCCAACAGACTCGGCTCAGACAACCTGGCTCTTGACCAGCCCGGTGGCAGCGAACCCATCGCTCACGGAATCGATGTCAAGTCAAACTACTCCTTCAACTCCAGGATCTACGGTGTTGAGGATGCCGACTACATTCTCCTCATTGGCTCCAACCCCAGATGGGAGGCCGCCGTTCTTAACGCTCGCATCAGGAAGCAGTGGCTGAGGACAGACCTTGAGGTTGGCTACGTTGGTGAGGACTTTAAGAGCACATTCGAGTACGAGAAGCTTGGAAGCAACGCCAACGACCTCAAGAGCGCTCTTTCTGGGGAGTTCGGAAAGAAGCTGGCTTCGGCCAAGAAGCCCATGATCATCGTCGGTAGTGGTGTCACTGAGCACGTTGATGCCAAGTCGATTTACGAGCAAGTTGGATCTTTTGTCGAGAAGAACAAGGACAAGTTCCACACCGAGGAGTGGAACGGCTACAACATCTTGCAGCGAACAGCTTCCCGAACTGGCGCCTACGAGGTTGGCTTCACCGTTCCTTCATCCGAGGTCGCCCAAACCAAGGCCAAGTTTGTCTGGCTTATGGGCGCGGATGAGGTTAATGAAGCCGACATCCCCAAGGACGCCTTTGTTGTCTACCAAGGTCACCACGGCGACCGCGGCGCACAGCTCGCCGATGTCGTCTTGCCTGGTGCCGCATACACCGAGAAGTCGGTCACATACGTCAACACCGAGGGTCGGGTACAGATGACCCGTGCCGCTGTTGGCCTTCCCGGCGCTTCAAGAGAAGACTGGAAGATCGTGCGAGCAGCCTCAGAGTACTTTGGCGCCGAGCTGCCCTACGACGATGTTGAGGCCCTGCGTGACCGCATGGAAGAGATCTCACCTGCTCTCAGGAGATACGACCTTGTTGAGCCCGCATCGCTACCCAGCTTGAGCAAGGTTCAGCTGGTAGACCAGAACCAGGGCGCACAAGCGACTGGTCAAGCGCTGAAGAATCCCATTGAGAACTTCTTCTTCACAGATGCCATCTCGAGAAAGTAAGTCACATCCATGATGCTGCCCCATTGCTGCACAATACTAACCATGACATAGCTCGCCAACAATGGCCCGTTGCTCGGCAGCCAAGGCCCAGAAGAACCCCAAGACAAACTTCATGGCACCAGGTGAGCCATACCCACAAGTCGGCTATGGTCCTCAGGTAGCAGCAGCAGCGAACGTTTAGATGTGCATTTGGTCATGGTTGAATATTGGGCTTTATCAGGATTGTAAATAAGCATTGTGACACGTTTTCTCGATTTTGGCACGTGATCCGCGATACGTAGAGAATCGAAGCGGTACCCGCGCCAGGTTGTTCAAAAATCAGTCCCGTGGCATGTCTGTAAAGGTTGAGGTATTTAATTCCAAAATACCAAGCCTTCACACAGCCTTGTACAAGCCGTCAGCCAAGGCGCTACGCGTGTGCGACCCACGTTCGCCTTCGTCGCGATCTCTCCAAGATGCCAACCACTCCCCATATTTCCCACTTATATTACCACCTGTTGCTTTCTTGTGCAGACCAAGCCTCTTGTCACCACCACCAAGCTTTTGGCGTCGCTGTGTCTTGTGATTGCAGACCGCCCCAGTATCACCGAAACGCTAACTTCTACCCCACGGATCGACCACAACACTCTACATAAAAGGCGAACATCACTCTGCAAAAGAAAGAGAGGGTTGCAGTCGCTTCAGTCGTCTCATACAACCTTGGGAAGCAAAAGAAGATATTTGTTAAGCTTTGCCGTCAAGCTTCGCCGAGAGTTTAGCAGAGCCATCGAAGAAGCCGACATAGCCGTTCGCCGGATTTTGAGGGTCCGTTCAGGGTTCGGTGGCCAGCCATGCCTACCTTGGCGGTCAACAACTTCAACATTGTCTGTGCGACATTGGGAGGGTTCATTACGCTTTTCGGCCTCGTCAGCTATTTGATGAAAGAGCATTATTATCTTAGTGAAGCCTGTAAGTTGCTGATCGCCCGGGCATGAATCATGGGGATCTTGGGTAATAGAAGTGCATAACTAACCGGCGTGTTTCTAGTAATATCACTCATTGCTGGACTCATCTTTCCTCCACATGCGACCAATTGGATCAAACCAGAAGAATACGCTCTCAACGATGTCGAAGTGCTGGATACCATTACCCTGTACTTTACGCGCCTGGTGCTGGGTGTCCAACTTGTCCTCGCGGGTGTGCAGCTTCCGTCAAAGTATCTGAAGACAGAATGGAAGAGTCTAGCTTTGCTACTCGGCCCGGGCATGACGTTCATGTGGATCGTCACCAGTCTGCTCGTCTTTGCTATGGTCCCGCACATCAGCTTCCTACATGCCCTGGCCGTAGGCGCCTGCGTCACACCCACGGATCCTGTGTTGTCCAACTCCATCGTCAAGGGAAAGTTTGCGGATGCAAATATTCCGAAGGAGTTGCAGAAGATCATCGTGGCTGAATCGGGAGCCAATGATGGTCTTGGGTACCCGTTCCTATTTCTACCGCTCTACCTTATCGAGCACATTGGCCATGGTGGTCAAGGCTCGGACAACAGCACTAAGGTTGCAGTCGGCCTGTGGTTCGGTGAGACTTGGGGCTACACAATCATTCTCAGTGTGGTTTACGGAGCCGCTGTGGGTTGGATTGCGAAGGAATTACTGCATTGGGCTGAAGAGCGGAAATACGTGGACCGCGAGAGTTTCTTGGTGTTTGCAATCACCCTGGCTGTAAGTTTCTCACGAAAATCTTGACGATGTGAGAGTTACTAACCGCAGAATTAGCTCTTCATTGTTGGCACATGCGGCATGATTGGTAGCGACGACGTGCTTGCCTGTTTCATCGCCGGCAACACGTTTACGTGGGATGACTGGTTCCGCCTCGAAACGATGGACGACTCATTCCAGCCCACCATTGATATGCTTCTGAACGTATCAATCTTCATCTGGTTCGGCGCTGTCTGCCCGTGGCGCCTCTTCGCACATTCGCCCGTCATTCCCATCTACCGGCTTATTCCCTTGGGTATACTCGTACTGCTGTTCCGCCGTCTGCCCATCATCTTCGCTATGCACAAACAGATTCATCAGATTGAGCAAAAGCGACAAGCACTCTTCGTGGGCTTCTTCGGTCCCATCGGCGTGAGCGCCATTTTTTACCTCTACATCAGTCTCGAGTTTCTCGCCAAGATCCAAGTCGATGGCGAAGTCAGGGAAGATGCTGCATACCTGATGGAAGTCATGAACGTGGTTATTTGGTTCTTGGTAATCTGCTCGGTTGTAAGTTTACTCGTTTTCCGTATTTCAGAACCTTGTTCTCTAACCTCAGCTAGGTCGTTCACGGCCTGTCCATCCCTCTCGGCAAAGTCGGTTTCTTCATCCCTCGCACCCTCAGCACAGCCTTGTCTTTTGCCCGCACAGGCTCTAACTCCCCCGAAGATACCGGTCCCGCTTTCCACATCGAGGGAAACGACCAGACCATCACCGATGCCGAAGCGCGCGTTCGCCGCCGTCCAGGCTGGTCTCGCAACGGCGGCGATTCGCTGCCAAACCGTGTCGTGCGCATCGGCAGGTCCATAATTAGTTCGGGGACCAGCTCAGCCAGCACATCGAGAGCGACATCGAGAGCACCCAGTACGAGCCGCTCAGCTAGTCAGCCACCAGTACCAATGGCCAGTGTCAACGCCTTAGTCTCGGACGGGGAGGGTGCGGCGCCCAAAGGAAATGTGAAGGCTGGTGGTGAGAATGGCGAGGCGCCGGATCCAGCTGAAAGAGTCGTTCCTGGAAGAACAATCCGATTCCATGACGAGCAAAACAAGACCAAGGTTGGAGATGAAGAGTAGGGAATTGGTGTTCGATCTTTTTCCTATGTTCGAGTGTGTGTGTTCATGTCGAACATATGTGTGGCATTTAGCGACGACATCTGAAATTTCCCACAAGTTTCCATGGTAAAATCATACTCAATCCACGATGTTACCAAGAATATATTGCCATAATCTTTGGAATATCACAAACGCAAAATCTCCACAACTCAACTCAATCCAGTTACGTCCACTCAAACCACACCAACAACGCCCTTCTCCCCACCCTCTCTCCTCGCAATCTCCTCCACATCCACAACCGTCCCCTCCCGAACACTCTTCTCCAACTCCTCTCTCTTAACCGCACACCTCGCACTATACGTCGCTTGATCCCTCTTACACTCCTTTTCCCAGAAGAAGTTCTCGCCCCAGCACGCCGCGCCAACCAATTCAAGCACCAGCACAGACACGACTAATCCCGTGGTCGTTGCTATCAACCGCAGGCTATCGAGGTGCGCGAGCGGTAGTGTGAATATGATGACAGAAACAGCAGCGCGGAAGAGGAGACGCACGGGCTTGCGGAGGCGCTGGTTGGGAATCGTGCGGTGGACGTGTGTTGCTGATATGACAGTGAGGCAGAGGAGTGAGATGCCTAGACCGCCGCAGTAGAACCAGACTAGGCCTTCGGAGATGTGCTCTTCGGAACGGGGAATGAAGGTTTCTGATAGGGATTCTAGGGGTGCGGAGGCAGTGTCGTGGGCGCGGACCAAGACCCCGAGGGCTGATGCGGATAGGACGAAGGACATGATGAAGGGGAGGTGGGCGGAGAACCATGTCAAAGCTGATTCAATCGTTAGCCCTGGCGTAAGATTTGGGGATCCAACTTACCGGAAAACACATGTCGGCGGATAGCATGCGTATGCAGATTGAATGAGTCAATCTCAAAGTACACCCAGTTCAACACGAACGTCTGCACCAGGCCCAATACCGCCTTTCCAAAGAACGCATTGATCCCCATCGCCACACTACTCTGGTACAGCAAGCCCAACACGCAAGACCCGAACACCAGCGTGACAAACGCATTCGTCCGCTCAATCCGATGCTCAATATTTGTCGCGGGATAGAACTCCAGACTCCTCTTCCAAGACTCAGGTACGAACGGCGCGATGGGCGACCCCGGTCGCTGAAGCAACACCATGGCAAACTGACCAAAGAGATCAAACAGAATAGCCACCCAAATAAATCCCTGTCGCTTCGGTTCCTCCACACTCACGCTCGCCATCCAAAGCGCCGCCGGGATCAAAGAGAGTAACGCATTCCCCAACATACTTCCCCTCACCATGGGAATACGCCATGCGTACCAAATCCAGCAACTCGTCACAAACAGTCTCGCCGCGAGATAGAATCCCACAAGTGGTGCGTACGTCCTCTCCCACGCCTCAACCATGTTCGTCGTAAAACCCAGCAAACACGTTAGCAGAAAGAGCACAGATACCCGCCTGATCACGTCGTCGCTATCGAACCACGACACCAGCACCCCGATATCCGTCCAGAACTTCCAGCCCATGATGAAGGTAATTGCGAAACGAAGCAAGGACTGCGCCGTGGGATGTTCAGCTGCAGAATCGCCTGTTATGGCAATAATGCCCACGTAGAAGAGGTCGATGAAGAGTTCGTAGCTAGCTACCTCCTGTGCTTCTTTTGCGCGCCACAGCAGGCCCTTATGGAAGTATTGTCGTACGATGGGCTTTTGGTAGAAGTGAATTGCTGTACCGTGTTGACGATCAGAGTGCCATGTTTCTTTGTCGAAGGAGGAGTCGGCGAGGGAGTCCGTTGATGGGCCGTCTTTGGTGCGAAGATGGGCTGAGTAACCGTATTTGGAGAAGTTGGCGTCGAGTTGCACGGCGTGCGAGGTTAGCATGTGGAGTTCGGTGGAGAGGGTGTCGAGGTCGCGGATTACGCGCTCGAATTCTTGAGCTAGGTCGCCGTGGTCCAGGTGCAGTTGGCGGTGGTGTGCTGTGTGGTGGGCGTGGGTGTGGCGGAGTGCTTCGATCTGTGTGCGTTAGTAGGGGGATTGTTCCATGCCATGGCTCTCTCATTCTTGTGTAGAACTAACATGTTCGGGAGATCCATGGATGAATAGGTCGAAGTCTTCTTTCTCGCTCGCATTGCTCAGCTTCCTCCTCATGTGATTTGCTTCATCGGGGGAACTCGCAATGTGCACCTTTCTTCCATCTGGTCTCAGAAAGTGTTTCAGCCTCTTGCCCGTGTGGTGACCAATGTGTGCATGATGGTGCTGGTGAGGGTCATGTTGTGCGCTTGTTGTCGTGCTTGTTGGATCGTCCATGTTAGCAGCCGGCATGTGCGGAATACCAGCCATCTTGCTCATCACGAAGTATGAGAAGGCGCAAACAACTGGGAGAGATAAAGAGAGGATTCCAGATACGCTATATGAATTGTGCAACGCAATTGTACCGACGCTGTCTCGTTGGGTCGAGAGTGTGGTGGCTTGCCTCTACGGGGGCTAGCGCATACCCGATTGGTCGAGATGGAAAGTCAAGAGGGTGAATAAGCAGCTACAACACCTGGGTAAGCCGCGGGGCGGAAGCTGGAGTTCAGCTTATGTAGTTTCACGAAACGACAGCTCCAAGACATAGTAGGACCGCTTGTGTGAGACAGGCTGCTTTGGTTCCTTGGTTCCTGATTGATGAGGAAGGAGCGAGCCATGTCTACGAAGTTTGAGTGCGAGGAGAGGCTCTTCAGCTATCTCTGTGATCCTAGATAGATGAGTCAGAAATCAAGCATTGTGATGGCTTTCGCCCAGACAGCTAGGTCTGAAAGAAATTACAAAGCGATGGGAACATGTGCATGGGGATACCGCTAGCAGTCGCCTGATGTCTGGTTTCATGGGAATCCTCTTGCTCATGCTGGAGACTGTGTGGGAGACCTTCATAGAGCGGACCAATTGCTGCAGTAAGTGCGCTTCCTCTATAAGTCAAGAACGCAGTCCTAGCTTGATGATAGTGTATATTGCTCGCTGCCGATATAGGCATACTCTGTGTCGAAGGACCTGAGCGCTTCGCTGTCCTCCGAGACCCTGTGTGTCCGCTGTCTATCGTTTCTTCGTCTGCCCTGCAGGACTCTGTGTACGTGCGCTCGCGCTGCCCGAGTCGGTCTTACCGGCCATCCACGAGGCGAGGTCAAAGTTCTGTAACTGCGATGCAGTGTTGGTGTTTCCGGAGCCCAGGACGCCGTTCTTCTTCATCTCCTCGAATTCTTCCTTCATCTCGGGGTCCACTACGCGTGTGTTAGTAACCTTGATAGTACCTAATGGGCTGCCGAGAGACTTACTGTTCTCCATCAGTTTGGGCATGCCGAAGATGAGGCCCATGGACACTATCGCCATGAGAATCATCGGGTTCTTCAAGAATGACAGCGGCGAAACTGCAGCGTGTTAGCACAATCTCCCCATTGCGCATTGTCGCGATGCCAACTTACAGCCTTGCCTCTCTTGGTAGAAGTACTTGGTTCCCACCGGCCTGGCTTCAACCACCAGACCGGTACCGCCCTCGCCGCGGCTCTCTCCCTTGTTGTCCCATTCGTTACCCAGGAAGGTCTGGTATGCCCTGATCATCTCCTTCTTCTCCCCGCTGCCCTCTGCCGCCTCCTCCACGGTGACATCAATCCTCAGTGGCTCGAACGCATAGTCGCGGCAATGCACGGTAGCAAGGTAGCTTCCGGCGCTCACATTGTTGAAGTTGAACGTGTTGGAGCGCGTGAGATAGGCGTCGAGGGGCGGGCCGGAGGACTGAAGCGTTGCATGCGTGGTCGAGGGGAGCGTGGACGGGTTGACAAGGACCGTGTTCGGGATTTGCAGCAGCAGGCGTGCAGCGCTTGTGAGCGTCGCGAAGGACGAGAGGGTGGCGAGTGACGTCTTCATCGTGGCGTGGGTTGAGCGGGTCGTGAGGTTGATCATGTCGCTCTGGTGGGCGATGGATGCTCGATGCGCGAGAACAGCGCACGGACCTCAGACATGCTAGAATTCGTGTCGCAGTTTGCAGTATGCACACTATCAGTTATGAATGACTAGGCAATTTCTAGGTCAATGTAGACCCCTTTCCAAGTATCCAGGGAGCCCTCACCAACTATGCCCAAATTCGTTATCGTAGCACTAGTAGTACGAGAAGTCAAGAGGAACAGCATCACGTAGTGGTGAGATGTTGGGCTACCAAAACGAGGGAGTAACGCGGTTGGCTTCATCTGTTACATTGCACTGATACTTGAGTAGTATAAATCGAGAGATGCTGCCTCCCGCTCTTGCGTATAGCGAATCGCGTAAGAGACAAGCACCTCAGGCCCATCTTCTCTGCCACCTCATCGCTCATTATCTTCTCTATATACCTTGTACCTGGGTAACAATCGTCTCTGATATGTCTTTCACACGCGTCGTCCTCAAAGAAGCCGAGTCGAAACAGACTCAATATTCGAAAACGTGGATCACGGCCTCAGGCAGCTTAATGGTGAGAGACACTGGACCTCTATCCTCTTGATATAACTGCCTCTTTAGCTGGATCGTCTTGATGATGCATGGCTGGTCAGCCTTTTTGGCGGCCTCGACAAGCTGACGGTAGATCTCATTTGCCACAATCTTGTACCGTTCGTCTCCGATAACAACCTCATGGGCATGACGGAAATTGGGTTCTTGACCGAGCGTGCGATACACGAACGTGACCGTCTCGAGCCTGACCAATTTGACCAGTTGTTTGGCGATAGCGGCCACCTTCTGACGAAATGCCTCGGTAATTTTTCCTTTCTCCAAGACACGTTGAATCGCTGAACAACGCATGCCAAACTCTCGGACCGCTGGACATAGAACCACGATCTCGCTAAGCAAATCGATATGGATATCTTTGTTGCCGTCACTGAACTCAAGAACGGTCAGGTGAGACATGTCATGCAGCATGCGGACAGGGTTCAATTCCCAATATGTAGCCGTGGCGATGCTGAGCTCCTCAATTTCAGTTGAGTCGCGGACGAACTCGGTGAGATAAGTATGATCCTTCTCATGGATCATGTCTTCATCGTCGAGTGAACGAAAGATGAGGCGCTGGACTTGTGGCGGATCATCGGCACCCATACAACCTTCGAAGAATTTGTGGACATTCTGACAGTCCGTCAAAGTGATATCCTTGATGCTGAGCATATCTAGATCTTCCCACTTGTTACGCAGTCGGCCGTATGGACAATGCTTGAAATTGATGGTATCGTAGCTGATCTTCGGCACAGATGCGGGCTTGTCGATACTTCCAACCCCGACATCGCTCATGAGATATCCAACGTCAGTATAGGTATCAGCATTGTCGTGGCTGATGCTGGCTGATGAGAGACGAGGCTTGTCATCCTCACATAGACGAGCCACTTTCAGAACGAAATCCTTGACGACAGGCGTGTAGGTCCCCCATGCGGCTTCTCTGTACACGTCACCAAGCCTGTTCGTCCGTCCGTTGATCTTAATGGTGAGCACGCCGTCAGGTCTATGCTCGGAAACCGGCGTCTGGATTTCGAAAGCCGCCGAACAATTCGTTGTACGCCGCGGTCGACCATCTTGATAGATTTCGATGGGCAAGAATTCTTCCAGGGGGTTGACAATGTCTCGTTTCGGTGAGGTGCGGGGAAAGTGTATGGTCCGAAGAGTCGTACTAAGCGTCGAACTTTCCGAGGTCAATACTGTCTTGAGGAACTTCCAGCTGGCCAAGTCTAGCGCGGATTTGTCGCAGAATGTGAGTATGTGCAGCTTAGACATACGGATTCCATAGTGGCAGAGTTGGCGGAAGTTCGTAGCTACAAGCCGTTTAGATCTCGCTGAGAGGTCAAATCGCAGTTTGAGAGTCATGGTGTAATTCTGCAGAAATTGCCCATGTATGAGCTTAGCGTCGATAGGTCTCATCTTGGCCAGCTCAAAAGATGCATCCTTCCAGAGAAAAGGCCGGACGGTTTCGAGAAACCCCTTGCTCGTCTTCACCAGATGTAGCAACGCAGTCGCATCGAGCTATTCGGTAGGTTAGCATTTGTCGGTCCACGGCGACCGCCATTTACCTGTTGGGACGAGGCGGCAGGGGACTTACTCGGAGCAATACATCCTCGAATAGCTCCGGGGGCAAGCTGGCGAGCTGGCAAGGGTGAATATCAGCCATGCTCGTGAATTCGGAGATGCAAGGTAAAGTCCAGGTAATAGAGTCTCAGTGTGCTACTGACGCGGCTCCAAGTGTCGCTCAGGTAAAGAATCTCGGGGCCCAGGCGCTCAGACTTACCAGGCTAGTAAACAAGGTCACCTGGGCAATTCTGCGGTCACCCACCTTGAGTTCTCTCTTTACTTGTATTTTGTTTGTAAAAGCGCCAAGAGGCCACTCACCTTCACCCTCCTTCGTACTCATTGGCTCACTCACTCTCACTTTGCCTCGGATACACTAGACTGAGGCGCACTCTCACTTTGCTGCCTGGAATATATGCCCTGAGGACGTCATAGGAACGGGCTCGTGCGCCTGCCACTGGACATATATTGTGCCCGCCCAGCTACTTCTTTCTCCTAACCCACCCACACGCCTAACTACCGCCGCCGACGGTCTCTTTAGAGCAACGAACCTTCAACAGCTTCGGAAGTATCTTACACGCCTGGTACTGCTCGATGACCTTGGTATTGGACTCTTGACGACGGCAGTTTAGCGCCGTGGTTTCTTCCTTTCTCTTATCCGCAACCCCATCCTATCGCTGCCGAGAGTCTTCGTAGGGTGATCCTTTCACGCCACTCGGCCGTTTAAATGGGCACTTCAACAGTGCTAGGGAGAATTCTTTCCGGTTCTGAGGCGGGGGTTAGCTCCTGCTGTTTGACCAGCCGGGTCAAAAGCTATTCTCTACTACCGTCTTGAGGTGGGGGTCTCTTGTCAGCGATAGTATGGTGTTGCGTCCTCTCTTCCTTGGTTCGCACTGAAGACATCCATACTTGCCAGGTAGAACAGACCGTTCTACTCTTATCTACCGGCGAGGTGTCCAGGTGCGAGCTAAGGATCGATAGGTCCCTTGCTCACGATCATCTCCGCCAACTCCAGGTATGTTGTCCCTACTAATTAGTGGGCGAGAACCAGGTTCCTTCGGCGTGAGCAACGGATCTCGGCGGAAGTCCCCGCGGGGGGCTACAATTTTTCTTTTCATTGACATGATCACCTTGCGTGGTCAGTTGAGGAAGAGAGTCGTGGTGGGCCTCGGCTGTATGCGTAGTTGCTCGTTTGGAGATATGTAGCCTGCATATCCAGATACTGACTTTAGTTCGCTTATCGGGACATCTTTCCTGGAAAATCTCAATGTCTGACAGATGGGTGTCTGGAGAAGAGACGGGACATCGCGTACCTACCTAGGTAGCTTCCAGCCCCGGATTTTGGGCGGCAATCGCACCCGCCAAGCTTCCAAGCTTCGCCACCCCCATCAAGCTCGAGAACCACTGTCGCGACCAACGTCTGCCATAATCTACCTCACCTCCAAGCCGATTCTACAGCATCTCAGGTCGAGACCCCTAATGTCGACCTCTCGTGTCCCGTTGGACATCAAAGCTATCGCAATCATACCGTATACCAAAGTACAATCTCAAAGACCAAGCCCAACCTAGAACCAGACCGCAGTCTGAGTCAAAGGCGCACTCTATTCTTTCTTTCTGTGTCCCGTTGGAACGGCTGAACATGATCCAAACCCCCCCTAATCAGTAATGCAGCGATGTTCACACTGAGAACATCACCGTCGAAGTACCACGTAGGGAGTCGCCGGTGAATGAATACGGATATGTATAACTCAACCTGCTGATTGTTTTGCATGTGGCAACTGTTGAGAGGAAGAGGACTTCTACGCAGAGTTGAGACACGCTGTGGTATCCAAAGAGCGTCGGCTTATCGCGAGGAACGTCAAAGATACCATGCGTTGATGAGTATGAAGATAAGAAGAATCAATTTGCGTACTGGTACAAGAAGGCAAAGCTCAAACAATGAAAAGACACCTTGACTACTACACCCGTCGCCAGAACAGTCCAGTCAACCGCAACGGACTCCTTCCTTCGCGAAAAGAATCAGATAGTCCCGCACTGACACCCGGGAAGCACAAGACATTGTGAATCCTTATCTCCTCAAACCCACACCCTCACTACGTCGACCTTTGAACAGGTGGGATTTTGCGGCTCGCCCACAAAACCTATCTTCCATGCCAGCGACCGCAACGTAGAGCCATGCCTCATAGTACACATATACCAATTCTTGACCTTCTTCGGTGGATCAAACCAATCAGGGGCCTTGCCAGTATCATCTTCGGCGATTGCAATGTACATGCTAGCGCTGCCCTCTTCGAAGCACACCAGTTGGTATGTGTCGGTCCCGGGCGTGAAAACCATGTTCACGAGATTCGTCCCAACAACAAACTCGAAGTGCATTGCGGACGAGTCGGCATCTTCGCGACCCCAAAGACTCAAGGGCCAGTTGAGGATACCCTGGGTGTCGTCGTAGGAGGATACGTTGTGGTAGAAGGTAGTGTAGGGACGTGCAGGGGTGGCGGTCGTATCGTCGGTTAGGCATAGGCCTTCGTAGGCTGCGGACCAATGGCAGGCTCCGAGTGCGTGGCTGCTATCTGTCAGGATGAGGAAAAGAGCTGAAGGGTGGTGGTATGTACTCATTGAGGTCATCGTCGGTTGACTTGAGGATAAGACGGAAGCCGCTGGACTGCTGGTCGAATAAACTCTGGGCGATCGTGACCGTCTGGGCTAGCAGAGTTGCGAGAGCTAAGGTAAAGAACTTCATGGCGTGCTAAGCTTGTGGATGCTGGAAGGATGTGTTCGGATTTGATCAACAAGCTTGTGGGTGTTGATGATGGAATGCAGAAAAGGAACAGAAAACGGAGGCACGGTGCAGCTTTTGTACGGCATTGATGACGGGTACTTTCACAGAAAGAGCGGACATAGATCGTAGGAGCTATGCGAACTTGAGGAAGTGGCTTTTACACAATATGTTTGTATGGCAGGAATTAACGTTGCAATTCCTTACCCTTCTACGTCAATCAAGAAAAAGGATAAATAGGCACGCAGCCTACATAAACATAGAAGCATACAGAACAGTTAGACTAGCTTTAATGTAGGCTCTAGACCTGTTTAGTTTTTTTCCTTGTGCAAGGTGCTTCAAGTGTCTTTCGTAAACTCCGAATGCTGCCGCCACTTCTCCCCAAACTTGAAGATGCATAACGGGATGATGACCAAACACAAGCTCAGTACGCCCAAAAGAGTGAAGCCCAGCCCATAACCAAGTGCGTCAGACAATGGACCAGTCGTGAGTGGCAGGAAGGTGCCCATAAGGCATCGCGTGACGATGACGCCCGTCATAGCCGATGCGGAGTACATACCGCAAGCGTCAACGACGTAAGCAGATAACGGTATAACAGTCAGAAGGAGCGAGAACCCCATCAGGGCCACCGAGGCGAGAAGCAAGAGTACAGGCAGACGGTATTCTGCGATCCAGCCGTATGCAATTACCGAGAAAGGCAAGAGGATCGCACCCAGGATAGAAAGAGGAAGGCGGTACTCAGGTTTTCCTTTTCCGCCGTCGGGCCCGCGAAGCTTGACGTATATCCTATCGAGCGTAAAGTTGCATACTAGTACACTGCAGAAAGACCCGACGCCTGGATATCTGTTAGCTGCCGTGAGTTCAGGCATATCAAGATACTTACTGAACGAGATGAAAGTGTAACCAATCTGGCCGAACTCGAAGTCATACCTGTCCAGCAAGATCGAGGGTAATGAAACGCTGACAACGTAAAAGAAGCTGAACGCGACCGAGGCAAACAGCGAGAGAAGCATAAGTACGCTCGAACCGAACAATACCGCAAAAGGCCTCGTGATAGAGTGCCAGAGCTTTGCTAGATACTCATGTGTGCTCTTCGACTCCGGAACCTTTCCAGTTTCCTGCATCGTCTTCGCTGCTCTTCTTCTCAAGACAGCCATCTTGTACGTCTCTCTGAAGTAGACGAGGAACAGAACTTCGCACACGATAGCTAGTCCGGCGGCGATGGTCAACATGCGTCGCCACCCTATCGTCTCTGCGATAGCGCCAGAGATGGCAGGGCCGATAGCTCCTCCAATAAGCGGCGCAAGCATAACCAAAGACATTGCGGAGCCGCGTTGCTCGCTCTCGAAGATATCTCCGATAATGGCCGGGTTGAGGACGTTTGAAGCGACGCAAAGACCTGTGAGCATCCTCGCTGCAATGAACATGCCGCTGTTCTGGCTGCAAACTGCTAGGATAGTCGCAGCGATGAAGCCGATGTTACAAACGTTGAAAACAGGATAGCGTCCAAAAATCTCGGATAACGGTGCGATAAGTAATGGTCCAGCGGCTTCTCCAAGTTCCCAGATAGTCACGAGGAGCGCGCTGTTTGCAGAGCTCGATTGCTTCCCATCGAGATCCGAGACGATCTTGCTGGCGACCGGTACCACGCCAATGCAAGTAAAGGTTCTGTAGACATGGTCAGCGTCGAAGTTCTTTTGACAATTGGAGCGCTGGGAGAATATGCATACACGGTGAACGCCATAAGAGCAAGCAACAAAACGATACCCCATTTGAAACCTGGCGACCAATTGCGAGGGTCCTCAGGGTCCAGAGGCTCAAAATCAAGCGCGTCATTTCCAGCTTCCTCGGCATCATTCTCTTGTTGGACGCTTTCGTAGTCATGCGATATTATTCTGAGCAGAGGCTGCTCTTCGTCCGTGAGCACCATTGTGGCTTTTGTTCCACGGAAGGATTCCTCTAAAAATATTCAAGATGGGATGATTGCGAAGCACCGAGGTTTACAAGACCCAGGAACTTTTTCACGGGACGAGCGCGGCGGATTGTGACTAATGAACGCCCTAGGGCGTGTTTGGGTATGGGGTAATCTTTAGCGTCGCTCAACTGCGGTGGTGAGAAACTGGCATCTGTTGAGCCGTCAAAGTCCGTGCAGCATGCATGCTTCCAGCCTCGTATGCAAAGTAAGATGATTGGTCGGTGTAGCATCGTTCCGACGTTCGATCTGTATTGAACTAATATTTTATTGTGTTTACTATTCATCCATGGCTATTCTCAAATCCGCTGTGTTGCACGCCACCTTGTACAAGGTAAAAACTAAACAGGTGCGCTAGAGTCTACATTATAACAAAAACTTAAGTTTCAAAAAGTATTAAGGCATTGTAGCCTTATAGCCATTCTTCTCACTTGCGAAGAGCTAGACAAGCAAGTCTTCTGTGATGTTCGTTCAGACTGTACGTCTGAGAAAACACCCTCTTGCGACCACCACAGGTCAGCCTGGCAGTTCGTGCAGCATCCCGCTTTGGCTTGCACGCAACCTCTGAAGCTTGACGCCTATCCAATTCTCTCTT